ATTCCATTTTGGCGACTCTGTAACTGAGTTAGGTAATCTTTTGACCATGTTTTCCAGAAGTCTTGTTTCAGTTTTGTTATAACTTTCCAAAATTTTAAACGGTTAAATGAAATTTCAGATACATTTACCTCTGGATAACTGCAAATGGCTGTCTCAATAAGAAAATGCCCAGGTGTTAAATATTCACCTTCATTTGGATTAAGTGAAAGCAGAGGTCTAGAGTTAAACACCTATTTGTATCATAGCAGTATTAAATTCTTCATAGGTCAAGCACATGGTGCCTACTACTCTTTTAAGATGGTACTTGACACTCTTTACCCCTGCTTTTCAAAGTCCACTAAACTCTAGAGAGTAACTGGGAATAAACACAAACTTAATATAATTTGTTTTATAATAATTATGAACAGCATCTCTATGAGATTTAGAATTTTGTAATTCATACAATTCTTTGAGCTGATTTTAAGCCCCCTTAAATGTCTAATTTTGCATTATCGCAAAAGACTTTAGTTGGCTGCCTCGCCTTGATATAAAGCGATCGAAACATGCCAAAAAAATTTCAGTAGAAAGATCTGATACTGTTTCAATGTGGATAGCTTTGGTTATAAAACAGACATATAGAGCAACATATCCTTTAGTTACAAGTGGTTTCGAATCCTGGCTACCTTCATGCTGAAAGGGCCACAAAAATCAATACCAACATGCTGAAAGGGTCTAGTAACATTAATTCTTTCTGCCGGCAAGGAGCCCATAAGTTGATTCGCAGCCTCTGCCTTTAACCGAATACATTTTAAGTATTTGTGCAATACTTTTTTAATCTCTCTAACGCCACTGATAATCCAGTATTTCTGTGAGAGTTAACTATGCACCAACCTAGGGCCAGCGTGCAATAATCGAAGATGTTCCCTCTCAATAATCAAAGATGTTATCTTGGAATTCTTTAGCAATATAATAATACATTTATCGCGCGGAATGCCTGCATTCTGAAGCCTACCGCCCACACGAAGAATATCGCTTGCATCAATAAAGGGGTGCAAATTAGCAATAACTGACTTTGTTTTTAAATTGTTCTTAATTGCATATATGTCATCAGCAAAATGATGCTTTTGTACGGAACGAATAATGACCAGATGAGCGTTTTCTAGTTTTGTAGGAGTGAGAAAAATGTCTTTAATTATTTGTTTCCTTTTTAAAGCATTAAGATAAAATCTATAAATATATGCAATAATGTTTTGAAATTTATTAAAACTTAAGTAACTTTCAAGCAATTCATATGGTGAAGTCTGTACTTTCCAAGGTAGGTATAGGAAATAGGTAAGAAACTTCCTTTTCTTCTTGATTCAATGTATCAACATTGCTATAAGAATTAAAAAATACAATCAGAACTGTGGCTGTAATCTGATTTTGACATATACTCAGGCCCATGCCACCATATAGTTTTTACTTGTAAATTTTGTGGGTCTACGCCCCAAGAAATTAGGTCAGCAGGATTACCCAATGATTTTACATAGGACCATGATGACCTATCAGTAAGTTCAACAAAGCCTTTACCTTTCCAGACTGTATCCAGGCTAATACAATCTGGGAGTCACTGTACATGTGAAGTGAATGTGCTAAACGGGATGTAATTATTTTACTTACCCTATTTGCTAGCTGCGCTAGCAACAATTCACTATTTAGCTCTAGCTGAGGTATGGTGAGTGTTTTAGCCAAAGGTGCAACCCGTGATTTAGAACACACCAAGTTAAGTTCAATATTCCCATTAGTTTTTAAAACTCGTAAATACAGGCAACACCCATATATTTTTGATGATACATCGGCATAACCCACTAACTGAACAGATACACCATCATGACTATTAAAATATCTAGGTACTATAATTTTATTCATTGACTTTAATTTCCTGTAAAAAATTTCCCATCGTAGTAAGTGCATAGGAGGCAACATTGTGTCCCACTCAATGCATATTGACCACAACTCTTGCATTATTAATTTAGCTGAAACTATAATCGGGCCTATCAACTCCAAGGGGTCGAAGATTTTTCCAATGAAAACTAATATGTTCCGTTTGGTATTTAGTACTTCCCCATCACAACAAGGGGTCTCAAAATAAAAATGTTCTAACACTATATTGTATTTTAAGCCCAATGCCTTAATAACATAATCTCTATTAATATTTAAATCCTCAAAATATCTGCATTCATTCGGAATGTCCTCAAGAACAGGATGGTGGTTAGAGCACCACTTACGTAAATTAAAATTACCTAATTTTAATAGCTCTATTAATTCATACTTTAAAAAGTGAAGCTCGTCAATATCATCACTTTCAGTGAGAATATTATCCACATAAATGTTCAATATTACTTTTGCAGCCCAAGTAAATGTAAACAAATAAGTACGAAATAAAACAAGGTTATCGGAAAGTTCACCCTGCACTACAGGCCCATTCAGTATAACATCATTTAAAGAAATTTTATTTTTTGTTTTCATGCTTCCATCAAAAACCACTCGTAATTTAGTTGTCTTACTATCTTCATTGAAGGTGTGATAAAAAATAAACAGAGTCACTATTAATATCATATGTACTTATATCGACCTCCTTGGCATGTCCCATCGCCACATATTGCTGTATAAAATTTTTATACACTATAAAAAGCATAGGACTATGTTTGAGCCTTTTTTTACTAAAGATAAAAACCTTTGCCAAGCAATCGAAAAGGAGTCCTCAAGTAGCAACTCATTTTATAACCAGATGAGGGGCAAGTCAACTGAAAATCTGTTATGCTCAAAAGTGACAGACTTATGAAAAATAATTTCTGATTTATGAAACTCACTTGTAATGCCTGTTTTAGGTTGAGGTAATGCTTCAGTTATCCAAAAAATTTCCATCACATTTTCTAGCTTTCTTTCATCACATATAACAAAATTAGACACTAACTGAGAGTTTTCATTTTTAGTCTCAATCTTACCAGCTTCAACATATCCAAAAACTGTGTTTTGTAATACAGGACAATCTGAAATCTTTACATATCCATTTAACAATGAGTTGAAATAAACATCAACTCCTAACAATATTGAAATTTCTGAAGGAATATTTAACTGTTCATCTGATAACAATATATGCTCTGGAATGTTTGATTTCGAAATATGAACAAAATTTTGAGGTAAGGGTGTCGTAATTGAGTCAACTATTAAACAGTTTACATTAAATGTTGTATCTTTTTACACACAATACCTTAGAGATAAATTAATAGTTTAATTAATTACTGTGATTTTATTGCCAATACCAATGATATTACTTGATGAATTTGAAAAAGGTTTCAAATTAAATTTTTTAACAATAGTGTTTGTCACAAATGAGGCTTGGCTACCGCTATCGAGCAAAACTCGAACATAAATGTCTCGACCATATTTGTCAATAACCTTTACCTTAATAGTAAGCAACAATGTAACTATATTAGAAGCATTGCTATTTGAAAACAGTGAAACCTTAGCCTCCTCCTCCACATGGAGGAGAGTATTATGCGGCTTTTTACAAATTCTACATTTAAATTTATATTCACAGACATTGTCTGAATGATCCCTTAAGCAAATAGAACACAATTTGTGATCTTTGACAAAAGATAAACAAGTCTCAATAGAGACCATCTTAAATTTTGGGCAATTAAAAATTGTATGATCTTTCATTTTACAAAAATCACACAATACAATGGATTGTGTGGAAACATTTGCAGCTCTTACTACTGACCTTAAGTTATTTACAAAGCAATTACTCTTATAGGTTCACTATCTTAGAAGATAGCATTCGTTTTCAGGTTTTCGTTGGTAATATTTGTGGATCACGCTCTAACTGAAAGGCACGATTTGTGTATGACTCTAGTTTCCTATTGAGGATACAAATTAAAACCCGATCCCAGCTATGAATTGGTTCATCTAAGTTTTTTAAACTATGTAACTGCTGCTGTACTTGAGAAATGAAGGTCCGTATTGATGTTGCTGTCCCTTTGAGGTAGGTGGAATATCCAAAGGTATATTTATATGGTTACATATAGAACGTGCCTTATTATTAAACCATTTTTTAATCAAAGTTAGTGCTTTCTGATATGATTTATTTACTAAGGGCAAGTTAACAATTACTGATAAGGCTTCATCTAATAAATATTTGCGCAGATAAAATAACTTTTGGACATCCGATAAAGTCCTATTATTGTGAATGACAGCGATAAAAAAATCATAAAATGGTTTAAATTTTGTACATTATTTACCATTAAATGTGGGAATTTCTACATTAGGTAATTTAGACGAAGACGTGAAATTAGATTGAGAGGGCTCTGATTTATTAAGAATTTTAATTGCTTCATTTATTTTACCAAGAGTCATATAATAATTATTTTCCATCTAACCAATATCCAAAGAGTCCTCTTCATCTAGGCTTAAAATATCCAACTGAATACTTTCATATTGTTTTAAAACTGAAATTAATTTATCTTTACGAGCTTCTAAAACATCTATTGTTGCTGAAGCAATGTTATCTGGTTCGCGAACAAAACTTTCAATTCGCGTCAACGCTCCTTTGCAATGCGCCCGCGCAATTTTTTACTTTTTCAGCTCCAACATGATTGCGCAACACCAACACCAAAATACACTAAGCTTATTATTGGCCTTATTCCTTTACGTTTCTTTTTTGAACTTACAATTCACAATCACAAACACTATTTTATTATTCAAATGAAGTCGAGCCGTTGTTTACTAGAACTCGAACCGTCAAAGTCAAATTCAATTGACAGTGACACTGACACTTCCAGATGAACGCCTTGGTGAGTTGCTCACCATAGACAAATATGGCGAACGGAAATAAATTTATTTTTTAATGAAGGTAGGTAAAATCACAGATAGAAGCTTCTTTTTCGGTTTACCGTCAGTTACACAATTTGTGTAAAAAAATTTGAAATATTGCAGATTCTGCAATGCCTCGTCAATATTTTGACGAAAATGGATGAATATTAAGGTGCAATAGCAGGGCAAACCAACAAATCACCCAAACTATAAGCTGGGTGAAGTTCCGCTGCCTCAAAGCCAGGACACTGTCCCAAGTAGAACGCACTGCACTCTTCAATAATACACTGTATCACACTTTGCTTTTCGTAGGACCACTTAGCTTGTTCAAAATGAAAAGCTAGACAAGATAAAATAAAGTATTTAATAAAGCTAAAGACGTTAGCGCACATTGTCACTACTAAAAAATGAATGGGTAATGTTGCCAGTAACAACTTAAATTATAAATTACAAATCATATTGCCTTTTAAAGGTACAGTTTTACGACAAATTTATAATTAAACTAGCTGTGCCCGCGACTTCGTTCGCATGTAATCTTTTTCTCCAATTCTTTTATATTTTCAAACAGAGTATATATAATTATATGTTTATTATAATCAAGCAGATTATTTTATACCTACCTGAACGTTAGCTTCGTGAAAAAGGCTAAAATAGATCAAATTTTTTACTTTTAATTTTGGATGACTTGATGGCAAGGATTAGCCATTTTATGATAATATCCACATTTTAAGAAAACCTAATGCCAGCTATCTACCACCTAATCCATTTCTGGTTTTCGAATAATAAAATCTTAATAAATACAAAACAAGGAGTCAAAAAGGGGATATAAATATGCAATTTAATTTAATGGTTTTATTTATTTAATCACGGTTTTGTTAGAACTTCAAAAGTAAAAGAAAATGTAAAAAAATATATTCAGTTAACAAAGGACCTCTTCATAAACAACGTTCACCGTTTTGTTTTGTGGTGCTAAAATAAACAAATTAGTGGGATCGCTGATACGCGACATTGCCACATAGAGCTGCCCATGTGAAAAGCAGCTGTTCGTAAGGTCAACGCCTACTCTGCTTAGCGTTTGACCCTGTGCCTTATTTATCGTCATTGCAAAGCAAACACTCACCGGCAGTTGGACCCGTTTAAAACGAAACGGAAAGTTATTCGGAATAATCGGTATTCGTGGAATAAAAACTTTCTCACCCGCACCGCAACCGGTAAGTATCTCTGCCTCAACCACATGTCTCTGGAGAGCAACTACTTTGAGCCGAGTACCATTGCATAATTTTTGGTGGACTTAAATTTCTTAAAAGAATTATGGGGATCCCTACCTTAAGTTTAATTTCATGTGCAGGGAGCCCAGACGCTGTTAATGCATTCAAAAACTCTACAGGATATGCTGTTACTTCTTCACGGTCAACTACTCTATTTATTGACGTATAGGTAACATTCTCCCCTTCAATACGTTCTAAAATGGTCATGTTGATACTTACAGCTTGATCATTACGAGGCGTAAGTATAGCGCGCTCACAAAGCCAAGAGTTTCCTTGGTTTACTATACCAGCCAGATCTTCATAAACAGATATAATAAGTTCCTCAATGTTAAGGACTGTTTTGCACAAATTATTAATTAAATCTATTCTACCATCAACCTCAGGAAACCTACCTTCACCAATACTCAATAATAACTGTGAGAAATCTTGAGCATTTGTGTTCTCGCCTCTTTGCGCTCGCATGTTTGTGGTGAGATTTAACCTTGTAATATGGGGCCAAAGAATTGAATTTTTTTAAACATGCGCTAATTTCATCGGCTCTTGTCCCGCGTGTAACTATTGGCAATGTCTGCCGAAAATCTCCACAGAAGAGCATAGTGACTCCGCCCATAAGTTCATTGTTGTGTCGTATATCTTGCAGCGTTCTATTGACGGTTTCTACTGCTTTGCGATGCGCCATTGTACATTCATCCCATACAATTAAGGTGCACTCACGAAGTACTCGAGCTATGTCACTATTACGTGAAATGTCGCAAACGGGGGTTTCAGTGACGTCTAATTGTGTGGGTATTTTGAACATGGAATGTGCAGTTTTTCCTCCTGGAAGTAAGGTAGCTGCAATTCCGGACGATGCCACGGCCAATGCAATTTTTCCCTGGCTACGTATTTGCGCAAGGATAAGTTTCGTAAGAAATGTTTTACCAGTACCGCCAGGGGCATCCAAAAAAAACATTTCACCAGAGGTGTTCAAAGCGCTGTTACATATACGATCAAAAATAATTCTTTGTTCGGGGGGTCATGATAGGTACACCTACTTGAAGAATTTGGGCCAGTTCCTCCGAGTCGTAATTGGATTCCGTTGCATACTCTCGATTAGTTTGTTCGACATTTAAGATTGGTTCAGGTAATCCATAGCGTATTAAGGGATTACCACCAATTGAAAAAACTGTGTTTTGTATATCACACAAACAACGATTCAATACATCATTGAGCATCTCTTGATTTAGTTCACCATGTTCAAAATTAATGTAATCTTCAGCTAAACTTTTCTGGTGTTTAACCCAAAGTTGATTAGCATCTGAAAGGCCACAAAAAATACTAACAACACCGCAAATAAATTCCGTAAACGACGCGGGCTATCACTAACAGATGCTTCAGCGAGGGTGTTGTCCCAGTGCTGGTCGTCGTCCAATAACCCTCGAGCCCGGCAAGCAGCTTGAAAAGAAGGATATTGAATGTTGTTGAACATTTTCAAAGCCAAAAATGATGTGGGTCCTCGTACTGTATGCAAAAGTAAACGTACGTAAAAACATTCGGAGTTATTGGGATGTACAGTGTACACTCTGCCGAGCACATGTTCTTTAAAAAGGTTGGGAAAACGTTCAACAGGAATACCACGTCGGCGACGATTAAAAATCCTGTGTTGCTTATCGTATGTATAATACGCTGGAACTTCGTCATAAAGCAAAGTTCTTGCGAAATCGTCAGATTCGCATAATCGAAAGAACGCCAGTAAAGTTGTTTGTCTAGGATTTTCTAGTTGCTCCATAATATTGTCTGGGTGAAAATATACGCGTTGTCCGCCTTCCACGTGAACGTCTAAATGCATTACCGGGGGATTACGCTCGCTTATTGGGAAACTGAATATTCGCCATGCTGCCTCCGAAGAACTTATGTATCGCCCTGATTGAAATCTTGTAATTTCGTCAAATCTGTCGTTGCTCATTGCAAGTGTTGCTTGATCCGTCCCTTTATTTACATACTTAAAAATGTATTTAATTGATTCAACACTGTTACACATTTCTACGTTTATATGGGTTTGGAAAGTTCTAGATAGCACAGGTGAGTACGGCACTACCCCCCTGTTATCTACTTCTACATCTTGTCCAAACATTCTCAATTTTGTGGTGAATCCTCCATACTGTGGAGCACGCCGCCGATATTTGGGATAACCATCTTCACCAGTGATTGTTTCTCTTAAAAGGGGTCTTGGATATTTTTTCGTACATTGTCCATCCTTCATGCACGGAGAATTATTATTTAATGCACCGCAAGGCCCGTGTATCATCTGTGTTTTAACAATTTGGTGTAAAATAGGATCATTTGTGGGATTTGGTAATTCTGCACTTATTATATTATCAACGTCATTAGGACGAATTTTTTTGTAATAACCATAGAAGAATGTGAGCGTGGGGCAGCCCTCTTTTTTGCCATTCCACGTTGTATGTATAGCATGACGTAGCGCCAAAAACGTTTTGCTTGGTTAATAAGTTGATTAACAACTTTAACTTTAAATAAAAAACTCGACTAATTAAATCGTATCGATCGTACGATGCTTGACCTTCTAGCAGCTCTTGAGAAATCTCGATCCATTTAGGGTTAGTAGTTATTGTTATGAAAAGATCTGGCCTACCATACTTGCGAACATAACAGAATGAGTCTTGAACGCGTTCATTCATATTTCGGGGACTCCCGATAAAGCTGGAAGGCAATATAACTAAACGTCCTAAATTTTCTATGTGTGTATCTCCCTGTACTGCATCATGAAGATCCACATAATTTTCGGCACGCAACTGTCTCTGATGAGTACGAATGAATACTAAACGCTCTGTTTCAACTTTTGCGTACATATCAACAATAAACTGGTTAAATAAGCCACGAAATCGTTGTAAATATACAAAACGACGTTGTCTTATTTGCATGAGATAACAATAAAATTGCAGAGCCGAAACTTTTCTGTCTAACCGAGGTGCTCCTGTAGCGGGGTCAACTTGATAAACCGTAAAGTTGTAACCATCTTCACCGCGACAGTAAATAAGTGGGTATTGTAAGGAGTCGTAAGAACGATGAGTCTCACTAATTCGTTGCAGGCGGTCATCACGCGTGCGTACTATAATGTCGCGCTTGTCGCTTTGCTGATCCACCAGGACAACTGCCACTTCATTGGTGGATGGAGAATTATAACGGCCGGAATGTTGCACTAAAGGTCGCTTATCCGCGCTAATAACAAACTTATAATTATTGTATTCATCTTGAGGGATCGACTCTAGTACAGCTTTGAAATTGGATACATAAGGGTTGACCTGATGAAGCATGCCCTGAAGCTCTGAGATAACATTAGCGTTTAAATTTGGGAAATTCTGCCTCCTTATATTGGCTTGTTCATGGTAATCAGAAACGAAATATATTTGTAAAAACTTTGGTTCTGTCTCAGGAAAAAGCGAACCAATTAAGTGGTAGACTTGCCCCTGCACTTTAAAAGTAGGCATAAATGTTCCATGTACCACTTGCTTGGCCCCGAAAGAAGTCATCTGGAATGCCCCATTGTATGAACGGATATTGTCTAAAAACTGCTTGGAATGTGGATGGTCCCCATTAAGTAGCGATTTAAGAGGTTCTGGGGGCTCTTGAAATATTTCCAATTGTACCTTGCCAGCTGAACAGCAAAACCCGTTTGATTCTTTAGACCACTTAAGTGATTGACAATGACTACAAGTGCGAATCATTCTTCCGATCTCGGCAAATTCACTATAGTCAATATTAAAAGTGTAGGTAAAACCACTATTTTCTTTATCAACCCAAGGGAGATCAGTGTAGTTCTCTCTGTCCATAGATGGCGGAGTAAAGGTGGGTGAACGATTTATAAAAGTACGAATACGATCAGCTTGTAACCGAATTGCACGTTCACTCTCTGTCTCGTTACTCCTAATTGCTTGCACTCTTTCCCTTTGTAAAGACAAAAGTTCGTTACGGTGTTGAAGCGAATTTTCATAATATCCCCTTGCCAATTCTAAGCGTAAGTCATGCTCCTGCTGGGTTTCATGTGTCCTACTTACCGAACGGCTCTCCCTATCTGCTGCTAACCTCGCTTCATATTGAGTAAATGATTCCGAAGCACGTGATCTTGCATGACGTTCCCGGTCTGCAGTCAAGCGTTCCAAATATTGAGTTAGCGTTTCTGAAGCGCGAGACTCAGCATGACTTTCACGGTCTGCAGTCAACCGTTCTGAACACTCCGTAAATGTTTCCGAAGCGCGAGACTCGACATGACGCTCACGATCTGCAGTCAAGCGTTCCGAATATTGAGTAAACGTTTCTGAAGCGCGAGACTCAGCATGACGCTCACGGTCTGCAGTCAAGCGTTCCGAATATTGAGTAAACGTTTCTGAAGCGCGAGACTCAGCATGACGTTCACGGTCTGCAGTCAACCGTTCTGAACACTCCGTAAATGTTTCCGAAGCGCGAAACTCAGCATGACGCTCACGGTCTGCTGTCAAGCGGTCTGAATATTGCGTAAACGTTTCTGAAGCGCGACTTTCAGCATGACGTTCACGGTCTGCAGTCAACCTTTCTGAATGCTCCGTAAACGTCTCTAAAGCTCGAGACTCGATATGACGTTCACGGTCTACTTTTAAACGCTGAGAGTAATTTGTTAATGTTTCCGAAGCGCGAGACAACGCGTGACGTTCGCGATCTGTAGCTAAGCGCGTTTCATTATTAAAACTGGACTCCGATGCCCGAGATTCCGCAGTTTGTTCTCTATTGTAAGCTAAACGGCGCTCACGGTCCTCATTTGTCTCTTGCGATCGAACTTGTCTCATCCTTTTAGCCCTTCTAGTGTATTGAGAAAGACTACTTTTCTTTTTTTTGCGGCATTATTTAAAATTTATTCAACAACCAAAACACAAAATAAAATCCTTATCCGAAAATGTAATCACGTATGTAACAATTTAGTGATCACTTAACCTTAGACTACAATAATAATATTATTTAATTCAATTTAATTTAATTTAAATTTAATATATTATTACAGTCTAAAAAATCCAAACAACTAATTCCGTATCGTAAGACAAAATATCAGAAATCCGTAAATCCGTAATATGATGTCATGAAAGGTAAAAGAATAGAAAACTTAGCACACATACGTATTATAGTATTATCACAAATATAACAACTTTTACAAATTATTATATTGAGTAGATATAAAAAAATGTGTCATTAAGAAAACTCACGAAAAATCTTACCTACGCGAGGTAGATGTTCAGCAATGACATCTAACGGAACGTAACGGAAAATAGTGAAATAAAACAATTATCATTGTACCAATATATATTTCATAAAAAAAAAATAGTTATATTCCTATTATAAGATAGAAAAGGACCTAACTAAAAATTATAATTGTTTATTATGTATTTATACAAATAATATATACAATTTAAATAATATATACAATTTAAATAGTCGCCGTGAAGTGACGTAGTTAGAGAACCATACTGTTTAATGAGGGCTAATAATTTTCTGCTCACCAGATGTCGCTAGTTGACACTGAGATAAAGTTTTTTGTTACACAATGTCATTTAATGGAGAAGTAAGTTTTTAATAAAAGTTTATCAGTTTCTAGAGTATTATACGAATACACAAAACAATGAGTCAGTGGTTTGCTGTTTAATTTTTTGCACATTTTTAACTTTTTAAAATTTTTCTACTTTCATGAATATTATGTATTTTTAATTTTAAAAATATAAAATATAGCAACAGTACAGAAAGAAACATTAACCTTTACATTTTTCGAACAAATTAACTTCCCCGCCCTGATATCTGTCAAATATTATACCTCACTTCACCTTCACAAGTGGCGCCACACTGGTGGCAGAAAAAGGTGTGGATGCCGTCATTGTAACTTACTTTTTCTTAAATGGCGCTATTATGTATTTAAATTAAACTTGATTTTCATAACGATAGACAAAATTTAAAAGCAATACATACATATAAAAAGCTTCTATAAATGTTTATATTTTTTAATAAAACTTTAATATGTATAATAAATAATTTATTAGTGCCTGAAGGGAAAACGTAACACTTTTTGCATTTTAATAATAGATGGCACTGTCTTATAAACATACAACGTAGTCGGTGAAGTTTTAAACTAAGTTTCAACGGTTAACATAGTATATTAAGCTTCAGTTATAAATATACATTACAAATAAAACTTTAATATGTATAATAAATAATTTATTAGTGCCTGAAGGGAAAACGTAACACTTTTTGCATTTTAATAATAGATGGCACTGTCTTATAAACATACAACGTAGTCGGTGAAGTTTTAAACTAAGTTTCAACGGTTAACATAGTATATTAAGCTTCAGTTATAAATATACATTACAAATTAAGAACTTTATGTAATCTACCTTAAGACTAATGACATTTTATGCACTTATTATAAAATTATAAAATTAACTCCAAAGAAAGGTAAAAAAACATAACCTTCTTTTTTTGATGCTCCGTAATCGGATAAAAAGTAGCCTATAAGTTGCCCCGGGTTCTTAACTACCCACTTACAAAATTTCATGTAAATCCGTCTTGTAGTTTATGAGTGAATCCGTAATACACAGACAGACAGACAGACAAAAATTCTAAAAACTACTAATTTGGTTTCAGTACCGCTTGTTTAGTCCCCTGGACTTGTTTTTTTTCAAAAAATAATAGAATTACAGACACGACTTTTCTACAGATTTATTATATGTATAGATTTTTTATGTTCATGGATTGAACATATTTCATTTTGGAATTCGACTAAATCAATATATTATATACATCACCCAAATTCCCCAGCCGCATCCTGGTTCAGCATACTGGACAGACTTAAGAACTAAACCTTGAAACTTAAATTATCATAAAGTCATAATCCCTTCGAATACTAGAACGCTTGGTGTATTCCCTCGCTAAATCACTATACTTAGCCTTTGAGCGAGAAAAATCAGCCCTCTTACACCAGCAGCGAGGACAAGTCACGGTCATCGTTCCCTTAGGTAATTACCGATGGATTCAAACTGCGCAAGCTTAAATTTTTAAAATTCGTAATGAAATTCATCTTGCGATCATTTAACGCACCGAAAAAAGTAGAAAAATGCCTGCAAGGCAAGTTATTTGTATTTCATAAATATATAAATATACCTACATAATGTAACACAGTCGATATTATATTTTTGACTTTTTTGAGGTTGGTTAAGTGATACACCTATATATTGACCCCGATAATATAAAGGAAAATACCCTTAGTCCGAAAAGTCAAAACAAATATCTCAGTTGCTTATTTGTTATAATCTTAAAATAAATTAAAAATGGACGAATAGTTGTCATAGTTGCTACAATTGGCATGAGCCTTTGCAACAGCAATATTTTTTTTTTCAGATGCTTTCGGGAGGATCATGCTGCTCATCTTCTAGTTCAAATTCATCCTTGCCTTATACGACACTATCGTGATGATACGGGATAGTGGATATTATAACCCCAGTACTTCACGGCTTTCTGCTGAGTGTTGATTAGTTATTAAATTACTGTTCCGTTTTTTGTTGCCAATCTGTATGCCTTGGAGAATGATTACGGGAAAATTTTCAGCGGTTTTTGGATAGATCAGTTGATGATGTTTATAAATAAATTTTTTCAATAGTGAACATACAACGTAAGAATCTAGATGTAAAGTACTCCTTTAATAAATAATAAAACATAACATAAATACAAATTGAAGAACCTTTATTATGCGGCGGTATAGATATATTTCAATTGATCGCTTCGCGTAGGCTTATTCTGGGATATAACTAAGTAAAATGGATCATAACCGTATAAATTTACACAAATTCGTTGTTCGAATTTTCAAAAACATGATAGAATTTCTTTCTTATTCTGTTTCTGTCGTGTACGTGTTAGATTGCTTTTATTGATATTATGTTACTAGACTAAATATCGCATATCTGGTGAATAAATGCAGATATTGGCTTCAGTTAAAATTCATTATTAATAATACTAAAGACTAATAATACTAAAACACTATTAAAACGTGTAATAAGCTAGTTCTTACACAATATAAAGCGTTTTTAAAATTATTTACAATATCTATTCAAAAATAATTACCTTATTCCAAAGGAGTTTCTTGGAGAAATATATATTTTAAAGAAAAAAAAAACAATTTGGCATTTCAATACATTAAAGTTAATGGTTACATAAGTCCCACTCCTGGGCACAGGCCTCCTCTCACTTTAAAGAGGGGTTTAGGGCAAGGAATTGTCCGCCGCGCTGACCCAATGCGTCTTCACGGACTTCACATGTCTTCGAAAATTATTTTTTTATTTCTCAGATATGCAGGTTTTCTCAAGATGTCGTGGTAAGTCAGCATTTAAAATTGCAACCATTTAAGCTTGTTTTTAAAAATGTTATTTTTTTTACTATTGATATAGCAATAGGTAGGTCTTAATATGTTTCGCAATGTTCTAAAGAGTTGATATCGTGGTCTTGCTTACTTCCTTTTTGGTACTCGTTTCCTATCGCGGTTTGATTTTAGTTATTAACTTTTAATTTATATACACATCGTAACACGCATATTATAATTTGTTTAGGAACAGCGTTTCCTTCAGCAACTTTATATTAATAATTAATTGAAGCTTATGTATGGAATACGTGGTAGATCACCCCACTTCTGCCTGGGAGTTCGTTGTATTATCCTCTTACCTAGTCCCGGTATAAATACAAGCTGTAATGCCTTACATGTTGTTCCTACCATCTCATTCCGTAAAGGTGATGACGACATAGCATTCTTTGTTTCAAATTAGCTGCAAGTGTCCATGAGCATTTTATAAATACTAACATAGTAAACATTTTTTATAATTATCATTTTCGAAATATCAAGAACATTTTGAATTACGCCTTTTAACGAATACCCAGAAACGATATTACAATATTTATTTCACTTGTGGGAGTATTAATATGTCCGCAATAAACAGCCATGTCAATTTTTATGTGACTTCGTGCAACTTAAAACCCACGAAAGGGTACAATGCCTTTAAAGTTATCGAATTTGTTAAAATACAACGTGTAGTTAGAGATCTGAGGCAACAGATGAACATACATTCAAACATAACCTTCTAAAGTCATAACCATTCTTTCGGCTTCACCGTAGTTGGGTAAATATCACACACACCCTCTTCGTCAAATCAGAATATACAACGATATCTTAAGAGATTTTAATGCGATTTCCCATATTTTCTTAAACGGTATGTTCAAGAGATCTGCCTGGTTCTCAGGTATTGGCACGGTATTTAAACACATTTAGAAGACGACGCTGAAAACTACAATAAAGCTATTCATGCTCTATTTAGTAACGAAAATAAACTAGCAGGATCTAACAAAAAGCATATTTTAGTTTCTAAATCCGCTATTTCTAATGTTAATAAATCCCTGGAGGAATTAAATGACAATCAAATAAAGTTAAATAGCGTCATTGAACTTTTATCTTCTACTGTTAAAAATGCATCTGAAATGTTTTAAATACTTTGCTATCTAACTTACTTACAAGGTCCTTCAAAGTTGAAGATCTATTAAACTCAATTTTATTTGTAAAAGCAACACCTTACATCCATCTATATTAAGCTCAACTCAAATATATAATGATATAATTAGTAACCTAAGAATTATGCCAAAATACAAAGATTTTCCAATATCTCTAGAATTAAGCAACATTCATGCTTTAACACGTTAAACGCCATGTAAGAAATGTGATTTTACTCCAAAAATTTTTTGTAGTCATTTTGTTAATAATCATGATATA